TTTCTAGGGGATCAAGCGTCTCTGCATGGAATTGCTGGAGATAAAAGCAGCATCAGATGAAGATTTTCATAAGAATATCTTCTCGAATTATTCTTCCTTCCTTGGGTAATTTTCTTAATCGATCCTTCCCTTTGCAGCCATTTCTTTGTTAGCTTTATGGGTATTGTTCTTAATCAATAGTTGCTGCACATTATAGCTGTGTATTACGAGCTCCCTTGTCGTAGTCCTATTACTGTGTTGGCCAAGATATATTATCCGATGTTATCTGGGGCTTAGTTTCAGATGTTTTCAGCTCATTGAATGGGCGTCGGCTTGTTTTCGTCACTATCAATTAGGTGGTGTAGTGATCGCTTATAATCATGTTCCAATAATGCTTTCTCATGCATGTTGGCAGAATATTTGAGGAGGTAAAGGACATTGAGAAGGAGCTGATGCAACTGAAGAATCAAGTTTTGATGCAAAAGAAGCTTGTTAACAACCTGATCAATGGCATTTATCTGAAGACCTTGACAGACCTACCTGAACTAGCAGTAGAAAACGAGCACGAAGAACCGCATCCTGTAAGTATGCTTGAGGATCACATAAATGATGTGGCAGACATGCTGGATGTACTTCTTGCGGAAAACAGGGCAGATGAATCCATAGCTTATCTTGAAAAGGAGGAAGATAATTTGCGCAGGGTGCAGCGCAAAGGTGATATATCAGCAGATGTACTAAAGTCATATTCTGCCGTTCTTTCGGAAAGAAAGGACATGCTTACATTGCAATTGACTTTGATTGCTGAAAATTCAAGAATAGCTGCTCCAGAACTTCAGAAAGCACTTTCTGGACTCTGCAAACTGGGTGACAGCAGCCTCGCAACTCAGTTGTTGCTAAAATATTACCATTCTCGCATTGTGGCAGGAATAGATGAATTGGAGAATTCAGAGTCATTTTTAGTTGGAATGTATGGCAGAGACCTCTCTAAACTTGTATTTGCCATGATATCCCAAGCAGCAAGGAGCTTTGTCATGCTTCATGGGAAAAAATCCAGTTATGATTCTGAACTGGTTCAGTGGGCACGTGAAGAAGCTCAAGTATTTGTTAGTTCTTTTACTAGATATGCAAAATCGATCTCAGATGTTAGCTGTGGACTGTCGACAGCTGTAGAAGCTGTCCAATTCGCTCTGACATATTGTTCACTCTTGGAGTCTCAGGGATTGACATTGCAGCCTTACCTGATCAAGCTTATTCGACCCTGTGTGGAAGAAGTTCTAGAGGTGCACATAGACCATTTCAAGAAGGTCATTGGCATCTTTACAGCAACGGATTCTTGGGTTTTAAGTAGGTATCTCATATCTGGAATCCTGAATGAAAACTACTCTTCTATGGTATTTGGGGAAGAATCAGAATACTGCTTACTCACCAATAGTGGGCGGAAGTTTGTAACTTTGTTGCAGGTTAGTGCATTTCCTCTTTTCGGTATTTAGACCTTAATGAATCAAGCAAATATATAATTGGTTAAGTTAGCTGTATGAACATGTGGTTATCAAAGCATCCAAATTCAATTTCTTTGTAGATAACTTCAATTTACATATGCCCTTGTCAAAATATCCTTGGAGAGTTGTTCCGTTACATGCATTTTCTTTTCATAAAGAATGTCAGACACAATTAAAAGGGTAGCAATGGGCTTTTCCAGTATAGATCCTGTTCTTCTTTGTCTTGTTTTTCATTTCTCTTGGACCTGGTTCGGACACAAAACCAAATATTTAGTGGAAGCTTATTTAATGAATTCCGACACAATAAAGGCCCTCTTGTTAGTTTTCCGTGCCTTTATTTTCATGAAATATAAATATGGATTCCTCTTGCTATTATCTGTTAGTCTGGAGATAGAATAAGGGAGCTGAAGTGCTGAAACATACTTTTTTGTTGTCATATCTTAAGGTGAACTTTTTTCTTATTCCTTTTAGGCTATGACTGAAGATGCTGTTCCTTTGGTTGCTCTCCGAATGGAAGGTTCCATTCTCAGAGGGCTTATGAATCTTTTCATGGAGTACATGTCTATCCTTGAAACAGCTATGACACATGACATTTACTCCCCTGAGAAAAGTGATTCAGAGTTTATTTGTGCTGAATCACTACCACAACAAGTTTCAATTCTGGCAAATCTGTCCACACTTGAACATTTCTACTCTAGCACCATGACCAGTATTTTTGGGGGCATAAATCGTATCAATTCTGAGCTAATGAGCAACCAGCCTATGGGTTTACAACAGCAGCAACTCGAAGAGTGCGTGTTATTCATCCAAGAGGCATCTGGTAGGCTCAGGTCCTTTTTCTGTGAGCAATATGTTCACAGACTAATGTCACTGGAAACTGAGTCGAAGCTGATCCTCGAAAGATATAGTGCTAGTAAGGATGATCCTGGCTGGGTTGATGGTGTCATGCCCTCTCCTGCCTTTCAGGTATGTTATCTTCTTGGAATTCATGGAACCTTTCTGAAAGTATAGTGCACACTGCACAATAATATTAGAATCTACATATAATTGGATTGATTCAATAAGTATAGTGCACAATAATCCCATTTGTCTCCTGGGACAAGACCGCTCTAAAATTATCTTCTCTTCATTCCCACTTAGTGTGAAGAGATTTGTTGTTTGTTCCTTTTCTCCTTCAGATTGTGCTGCGTGCATGTTTCGTTGTATATATTCTTTTCTGGTTTGTTTTCTTCCTTATACTTGCTTTTCTTCTCAATTTGTCATTTCTCTGATTAAAATCGCCAGGCGACCACTCTCAGCCATTATGACTGGAATGATGAATGATGAAGTTTATGAAGTTTCCCAATGACGTTTTCCATTTTTGGCTTGTTTCCAGGGGCTGTTCTTAGAACTCAAGAAATTAGAAAAACTTGCTGAAGACCAAGTCTTTGAATCCAGTTGGGTGATGGATTTAATAAGTGAGCTCATTGATGCCGTATTTGTCTGGATTTCAAAGAACAAAAAGATTTGGGAGATGGACGAACAAGTTTCAACTAGTTCTGAAGGTTTGAAACAGGTATATCCTTATTGTTTATGCTTCACTTTATTTCCTCTACCAGGTTTTCTTGTTGAGTGATCTTAAATATTGTTCTGCTAACATCTCTTTTTCTTAAAACCGATTTCACATATGAAGTTTCTTATGAAATCTATATATACAAAACAAAAGTTTGGCCAGCAATCATAAATTTACCTAAGATTTGGAGTTTGCTAAACTGACGGCCAATGTTCATGGAACAGTTTGTTCTTGACATGCATTTTCTAAGGGAGATCACAAAGCTTGGAGTATACTTCTCTGAGAACCCTTCAGCACCTGTTGCTCTGTTGGAAGCTGCATTCGTCTCAGTTGGGCTCGATCCTGACAGGTATAAATTTTATTTTCACGTGCTCGTCAATTAATAGTTCTCCTGTCATCAAGTTCCAGTATTCTTACTTAAGGTTCCGAGAGTTCTCAAAATTTCAAGGCCTCCCACAATGCCTTAATTAGACGGAGTATGGTATAAAAATAAAAAAGTCACGTACTTGTCTACTGCGTCGACACAAAATAGCAGCAATGCTTGGAATACAATGTCTTTGAAAAGAAATTCTCTTGCTATATCTTTTCTGTAGAGAAGCTGCTGGTGACGGTGATAGATGGGCCATAAATGCAGCAAGCGAAGCAATCAAACGGCTAGTGGAAATCGAACAAGCATCTTCTCTTCTTGATCAGGAAATTCCTGGTGTTGTAATGGACGAGCTGCAGGAAAGTCATACCGAGCTAATCAGTGAACCAATCAACGATGATGGGCAAAGTTCTTCAGATGAATCCTCCCGAGTGGTCACTGCAGATATGTTAGATGATGCAATGGACAGAGCGAGAATAACAGCAAACACGGAGCTAAGCAGTCAGCATTTGGAAGCAGCCTCAGATCATTGGACACCCTCGATAGGGTCTTCACCGGATGTAGAAGAAGTGATTGGCTACGAGAATGAAGAAGCATATGAAAGGTTTGAGTTTAACGAGGATGCAAGCTTCAAGCAAGTTATGCCGACTACCAGCCCATCTGCTAAAGCTCCAGAGAAGACAGGGAGGTTTCAGGGAGAGGGACGATTGAGCCGACGCACGAGGGCTGGCAAAGGTTTCATCGGTGAGCTGGGGAGTGATGAACTAGAAGCAGAGTCACCCTGAACATTACATAAGGTTGAGGCGGGTTTGATTTGTACCATGAGCTGCTTGCACTTTCAAATGATGGATGACCAACTAACCAATGCTGCTTCCCCAAAATCTCCAATCATCACCATTAGATTTTTGTCATGAGTTATTTTAATAACGACTATGAATGGTTACTTTCAATGTTGTTGTAAACATAATGATGCAGATCTTTGTTTTGGGGGACAAACGAAATATTTGCTCCGGAGAATTAGGAGCGGCGGAAGCTTTCACGGAGTCCGGATCTGGTGACTAAGGGGGTGCTTAGTCACTTGGCTAAGCCCCTTCTAGCCATTGGATGTAGAAGGATCAATCTAACGGTGAAAATTAGGGAAGAGATTTTTAAATACTGGGAGGGGCAATTCTGGCATAAAAAAAATTCATTAATTGGTTTTCCTTTTTATTCTGGGAAGGGGGAAAAAATCTCCCGAAGCTTTTCCTCCCGCGAGCGGCGAGGGAGATTCTCGGCGTCCAAACTCCTCCAGCGAGCAAAGGCGATTTCGGCGATCGGCGGAGCGATTTTCCTCCCGCGATCGGCGAGGCGATTCCAGCGATAGGCGAAGGAGATTCCGGCGATTGGCGGCGAGGCGATTCTGGCGGTTAGCGAGGCGATTTTCCTCCCGCGATCGGCGAGGCGATTCCAGCGATAGGCAAAGGAGATTCCGGCGATTGGCGGCGAGGCGATTTCTGGTGATTGGCGAGGCAATTTTCCTCCTACGATCGACGACGGCGAGTTGCACTCTCCTCCAGCCAACGGCGAGGCGTTTTTCTTTGCATGATGGATTCTGCTCCTATAACAATGGATGAAGTGGTTGATGGAGATAATGAACAAAAAACGGGAGAAACTGGAACTGAAACAGCAATGGATGTAGATATTCAGGAAACAACAGTACAACGTGAAATCGGTATGAAATCTTGTCTGATGTTTGTAATGATTCTGGTTACATTTTGTATTCTTAGTATGTTTTTCTTTGGATGTTTGTATACTTAGTATGTTTTTCTGCTCTGTTCAATACATTTTGTATTGTAAGTCTTCATATATGATGATTGTTATGTTTGTACAAACAGTGCAAACAGTACAAACGTATGGTTTATGCAGTTTGTACGAAATACCGTATGGCTTTATAGCTTTAGTGCATCAGTTTGTATGGTTTAATTATGTTTGTAATGTTAGTATTGTTGTGCCATCTGTTGCTGTTTGTGTTCTTAGTATGTTTTTCTGTTACAGTTTGTAATTTTAGTATGGTTTTCTTTAACAGTTTGTACTCTTAGTATGGTTTTCTGTTGCTGTTTGTATTCTTAGTATGTTTTTCTGTTATAGTTTGTATTCTTAGTATGTTTTTCTTTGACAGTTTGTATTCTTAGTATGTTTTTCTGCTCTGTTCTGTTACTTTGTAATGTGGTTGTTCTTATATTGTAAACTGGTTGTTTCTGCAGATGATGAGATCAAAATAATACCAAGCAATGAAAAAACGTGGATGAACCTTCGCTTTGACACAAAAGATCATGGATTGCTGTGGTACAAATGCTATGCACATGATAAGGGATTTTCTGTTAGAAAAATAGGAGAGGTTAAGAGAAAAAGCAATAACAAACCGTATGTTTGTAATGATTTTCTTCCATATTTGTCATGATTCTGTTGCTGTTTGTCTTCTTTGTATGTTTTCTTTGACAGTTTGTATTCTTAGTATGTTTTCTGTTGCTGTTTGTATTCTTAGTATGTTTTTCTGTTACAGTTTGTACTCTTAGTATGTTTTTCTTTGACAGTTTGTATTCTTAGTATGTTTTCTGTTGCTGTTTGTATTCTTAGTATGTTTTTCTGTTACAGTTTGTACTCTTAGTATGTTTTTCTTTGACAGTTTGTATTCTTAGTATGTTTTTGCAATATGTCAGTTTTGTTAAACCTCATTACTAATTTTAAACAAAATTTTCATTTCAGCTTTATTTGTGGGCTTCAATAACTATAGAGAAACATGTGTTTTTGGTGCTGCCCTACTCTATGATGAGACATCAGCCACATTTGATTGGCTCTTCATACAATTTCTCATTTGCATGAACGGGAAGAAACCGAGAGCTGTTTTTACCGATCAAGCGGCAGCAATTGCTGCTGGTATGAGGACAGCATTGCCGCGCACTTATCATGGGTTGTGCACAAAACATGAGAATAGAAAATAGTTCTAGTGCATACTGACATGGATTACCAAAAAAAAAACACTATTGGTTCCCTATTCCATCTTTCGGGCTGCATCGATAGTTCAAAGCAGCTTCATTCCCTCCCCCCGGAGCTCGCTTCTGCCTTTTTGCACGAACTGCTGCCTTCTGCTTCTCTCCAGCAACAACCTTTCTTTTCCTTCTCCCTGTATTAGAAAGCTGAACTTCCTTCCCCTTATTCTTAAGGTTCTCCCCCTTCCTCTTGGTTTTACTAACTTCAGCTTCAGCAACATGGGTACTTGACCCTCCCACCTCTGAACCTTCTACCATCCTTACTTAACAGCTACAAAAAAACAACAACAAAACAAGTCAACCAACAAATGCAACAAACCATACGAAGCAGAGTAATAAACTGTATAAACCGCACAAAGTGTATAAACTGTATGAACATGAGAAACAAAGTGCACAAACTGTAAGAACATGAGAAACAGAGAGCGACTATCGATGGAAACCGCCGGACGAGAAAGAACGCCGACGAAACTGACGAATTTGTAGACGAAAATGGCGAATCTGAAAAAATGGTGGAGACGGAGAAGAAGAAGGACTCTCTCCGTGGACGTAAGCCTCACACAACGTGAGGAAGAACCACGTTAAATAAAGTGTCTCCTTTAAATTATCGTCGATATTTTACAGGATATTCCTCAGCGGAAAGCTTAGGGTGGCGGAGCCGAAGCGCTGCTGGGTGAGGGCGATGCTGGCAGCGGGTCTGGGTGAGGGGTTGGGTCTGGATGGCGGCAGCTTAGGGTGGCGGAGCCGAAGCGCTGCTGGGTGAGGGCGATGCTGGCGGCGGGTCTGGGTGACGGGTTGAGATTTTGAGTATTTGGGGAGGGAGAACAGGGTAAGTGACGTCAGGGTGAATCAATTTAGGGTTTAGGTTAAATGAGGGGTAAACTCGTCCATGTATGTAAGTTTAGGGTGATAAATTCAAAAACTTAGGCCGGTTTACCAATAGCTCTGCCTCCGCCGCAGTGTATATGCATATGCTGGTGGAGACCTAAAATGTCTAAGGTGCGGAGTTGTGACATTGCTGCAAAATCGACCAACAAGTGGAAACCCGTGCTGCCTTTGGGCCGCGGATTCGCCACCGTTGGCCAAGAGCATTGTCATTAAGATCAAGTTACATGTCCAATCTTGGGGGTTAGGCTTTAAGATCTAGATAACTAAGATCCATATATTTATTTATTTTTTTTGACAAAGAGGTAGCTTAAATTGCACTTCAGAAAAATTCGGTTACAAAGAGGGAGAAACATCATGAGATCTGGAAACCAGAGGGACAACCTCAAAGACAAAAGCAAAAATTACAACATGATCAAACGAAGCAATGAAGATCTCTTTCATGAGCCAAATCCCAGAGTATCCAAACACTCTTTGCAATCTCATTCATCCGAGTGGCAAGAAGCAAACTTCAGCTCATCCAAATCAGACTTGACCATGGCAATTGAACATAGCAACACCATATGCCGCCTCATGGGAGTTGTTCGAAGACGACCCATCACAGTGAATCACAAATTGAGATTACATGGCGGTGGACAGGACTGAAACCATACTACTCAAAGTTGAAGCAAGGCCAAGGAAACCGCTGGCAGAACAAAACATGATAAAACATAGGAGAGCACAACAAAGGGCTGAAAGCTCACAAAAAGGAACGAACCTACGCAGAGAACACCCAAGAAAAACCAACCAGAAATCCCAACACAATCCAAGAACCCAACAAAGAACACCCCACCAAATCAAGAAAAAAGGAAGACAACAAACAACCACAAAAAAAACCCCTACGAAAGCCACATGGACAACAAAGTCCAACCCACCAAAACCCAAAAACAACGCAAAGGAGAACAACGCCACGCCACCACCAACAAAGTCCAACCCACTAAGATCCATATGGTGGCGGCTTTTAGCCAAAGACAGAGAGATGCCGAAATACTACCACATCGGCCACGAGACCTATAACCCGGGGTGAGCTTCAACTATATGAACAACAGAAAGCTATGATTTCACTATTTCACATCAAAGTTTGCTTGGCTTGGCTCGGCTGCAAAAATTGTTCCCGTGTTCAGTCTAGAAATTAGGTTTTGATGGCGGCTGCTGCTGCTGATCTCGAGAGGAGGCCGAGGAATGCACTTTAAAATATCGGCAGTTGCTTCTTTCTCGTCGCTGTTGGCCAAATCTGTATGTAGAAATTTTTCCCCTACTCTTTTTTTCTATTTCATTATTTTTTTCACAAAATTGCTACAGACCAACACCGTCTAGGATCCGGTCTCCTTAATAAGGTTGTCAACCACTCTGTCTCTATAAGAGAAGAAAGGCTCTCTGTTTTCCCCCTTGCAGAGAAAAGAGAATCATGGAGGTTTGGGTGAGATGTTCAGAGAGCAAAGCGACTGAGCTCTTGGTCTCTGAAATCCACGCCACGTTCCTCGAATCGGGATTCGTCCGTTACACACCGAAGCTCCAATTGACAATTCCCCCCAACGATTCTGTTGACAATTCCACCTCCTATTACTATACTCTGCCTCCCCTCCTTGCTATTAATAACGATGACGGGATCCATCCGCCGCCGCCGTTGGTACAGGTCGAGTTCCAGGCCGGAGGAAACCTCCTGACATGTCGCGGTCATCTGGTCGGAAGAGATTCCTCCAACAATCTGCTGTCCTTGAACAAGAGCGGCGAACTCGCGAAAGCACTGGATTGCGGGGGCGTCTCTGAATTTCGCCGGAGGATCAAGGATGCGATGTGTTTCCCGCTGCTGATCGATATCTCGGAGGAGGCCGGATTGACCGGGCCCAGCTCCTTCTCCACCCTGCCGGACGAACTCAAGTTCACAATCATGGCGAAGGTGCCCCGTGCCCGGTACAACGCTGGCGATGATGGAATGCGTGTGCTCTGGCCTCCGGGGCCTGTCCTCCTCCCGCGATTACCAGCTGTGGGCGGCCAAATTCTCTGAGGAGGAGTTTGACGACCGGGAGGTGTCGCCAGTGACACTCCTCCGTCGTCGTTGTCGTGATGTAGCGGATGCGGATTGGAATTGGAAGGAGCGCTTCGTTTTTAGAGCGCGGAAGCGAACGCGATATCATGAGATTAGGCCGGAGCAGGAAAGGAAAGGGACATCTTTATACCTTTGCTGGAGAACGTTAGGGTACTACCGTACTACTAAGTGACGCATATTTTTTCATGAAGCCAGCCAGGAATTAATCCCAGTTAGATAGTGTTATTGGTTTTTTGTTCTTAATTATTATTTCCCAGTTAGCTATTTTCTTGTCTTAGTTTGTTAGCTATGCCTATGGCGCCATCCCATTTTAATCCCAGTTAAATCAATACCAAGTCTAATAACCTCGTAAAAGCAAGAAAGAAGAAACAAATGATTTACAACTTAGCTCACATGTATTCTTACACAAATTACATCCTCGACCCTTCCCCTTTCCATCCAAAATCCCGCTCCCCCAGTTTTGTATGGCCTAATTGTTGGAAAATATGTGGGTTTTTCATAGGGTTTTGAGCCTCATTTTAAGTAAGACGCACTACTCGATAGTGTTGGTTCTTTACGGATTTGTGTTCTCTAGTGCACGGAGATCAAAATCTAGTATCCATATGCTCAAAATGGCTAAGGGATGAATGAGAAATTGATGCTCAAAATTGGTACAAAAAACATGAAAGTGGCAAATGTACCACATTGATTGTTTTGGGAGAAACCCATGGGTTCCAAAGGCTATAAATATAGCCTTCCCCCTTCTGGAATAAACATACCAAGGCAATCCTTCTTCTTTGCCTTCTTGCTCTCTCCCTCAAGCCTCTTAAGCTTTTCTAAGTTGGCTGGTGAAAGTTTCGGGCCTTGAAGGTTTGAAGTAGTAAAAATTGTATTATCCTGGGAGACAGATGCAGTAAATTACCTGAGGATAAGGCGAATCTGTTTTAAGGAAACCGAATATCGATTTGAATGCGTGGAGTATTCGCCCAAAGTAAAAGAAGTTTCTTTTACGTAGTCTGCTACAATTTTAAAACAGATTCGAAGTTAATCTATTATGCTCTTTGGATGCAGCTGAGTCTGATCTTCCAAACCAGAAAAGATTAACTTTGTGTTGAGCAGAACTTTGGGAAAATTGATTAAGTGAATTTTTGGCTACGGCTAGTACTTTGTGTTGAGCAGAACTTTGGGAAAATTGATTAAGTGAATTTTTGGCTACGGCTAGTGGTTGCTAATCGAGACCTTCGTGGTGCTCGCCCACTAACATGTGAATTCACTTCCTTTCTTTTCCTTCCTCCTCAAAAAACAGGGTGATACATTTCGGGAATTGGGCTTTCCTTCCATATTTTGCTTTCCCCTTACTTTCTTTCGTTG